ACCCCTCTGCGTTTGGCACCATCTCAGGGGACCACACTTTGTGCTCAGCTTCAACATCTCTGCTCCCACCCCCCCAGGTAGCAGCACCTATTCCTGTACAGCAGCACAGATGCTCCTGCCACCCACCGTGCCCCCAGCCTTACCTTTTGTCTGTCTGTCTGTGAGCAGGGAGAGCAAAGGAAAAAAGGCATTTAAGCAACTCTCATCATTCATTACCACGGAGGTGACCCAGTTCAGTCCCCACGCATCCGTGTGCAGCCAGGCACATTTGGCATTCCCAGAAGCTGACACCCTGACCCCACGGCACTAAGGGTGTGGGTATCTGAGTTCTGTGAGAAACGCTTTTGGGGTCCCTGGTAGCTGCAGCATCACCAAGCCAGGATGAGGGCCTGAGCCGTGGCTCCTGCAGCTCTCTGAGCACACGCAGGCAGCAGAGCAGAGCTGGTTCTGTGAACGCGAGCTCCAGAAGCCCGGCTGCAGCTGCCTGCCCTAGTTTTGTGCCCAAGCTCATCCCTCTGCCTCCCTGCTGGACCACAGGGCCTGGAAGAGCTGCAAACGCCCAAAGAACTCCTCCTCCTTGGGCATACCAGCAGCAGGAAACTCAGGAAGATAAAAGATGCTTTCCACCTTCCTTTAGCCAAGGGAGACCTCACAGAAAGAATGGAGACACCCGAGACAGGCGCTGCCAGCAGGGGCTGCGTTACCTGGGTTGATCACCGGCATGATCACGTCGCCGTTCCTTTGCTTGGTTTCCAGCCGATCCAGCTTCTGCTCCTCGTAGCGCTTCCTCCCCTCGTCCTCCTGCTCCTTCCGCGCATACTGGAAGGAAAAGCACACTCGGAGCACCCCCTGGCCATGGGCAGCAGCCGGGTGCCCGTTAGCAGTCCCGGGCGCCCCCCAGCCCTGCTCACACCAGGGACACCCGTGCTGGCGCCCAGCCCTACCTGGATGGGGGGCACCTCGACCACCTTGTTCACGTTCTTCAGGGCCAGCGGCACGTACCACAGCGTCGCCTTGTTCGTCACCTTCTTGGCCCCTGGCAGAGGGAGGGCAGCGTGAGCGTGGTGGCGGCCCTGGGCACACGGCGCTGCCGGCGTGGCACACCCCGGCAAAAACACCCCGAGCAGCCCAGCCAGTAACCATGGCAACCACCAGGAAAGGGCTTTTGTCAGCTCCGAGCCAGCCGCGTGCGCTAAATTATTCCGATTTTTGGTCGAAACTCATCAGCCGCACCACAACAGGCCTGAGGAGCTGTGCTGCCCCTCCCCAGCGCGCTGCCTGGTGCCCGTGGGTGCCCTGTGTCCCCGCAGCTCTTGGACAGGAGGCTCACACCCATGGGTGCCGGAGGAGCCCCCCCGGTGCCCCCCGCCCAGCCGTTCCGGGAAGCCGCGCTCTTTGCCCCGTGCTGCTTCTCAGAACCGGCGATCTAAAACAGGGAGGTGGGAAACGAAAGAGAAAGCAGACACCATTCGGCGACTTCTGGCTGCTGGTTGTGGTTCGGTTCCTCCATTTCCTCCTCGGGATTTAGGAGAAGGAGCCTGAGCCAGCTCCAGGGAGAGCCAGGGCTGGAGAGACCGCGCACGATGCTGGAAGCTCGTGTCCTCCCCGGCACTCCGGGGGTAGCAAGGAGGCAAAACGAGAGGAAAGGCTCCCGCAGAAAGCTGCACGCCTTCAGCAAGCTAGGAGCACGAGTCAGCACGTCTGCAGCCCTCAGCAACAACCCCCGCGGGGCTGAAGCCCTGAGCTGAGCAGAGAGCTCTTGTCTGGGGCAGAGAAAGAAGAGCAGAGCTGTGTGCCCCAGCCCGATGCGATAAGGGAGGAGGCACAGCGGTATCAGCAAGGGCTCTTTGCTCATAGCACGTGTTTCTCCAAAGCTTTGAGGGCCAGGAGGTGTTCCCAGCCCTGGTGGCCCTGCACAGCTGATGCAGGAGCCTGGGGTTTGCCACCACGGCTGCGCTCGTACCGGCAGCAGACCCACGGCCAGCAGTGGGCAGCTGGAGAAGGGGATCTGAAGCGGGACTGCTTTCATCCCACACACAGAGACAGCACCACGAGACCTCCTTGAAAGAAAAACCGAGGTCCTAAAAAAGCAGAGGCTGCACCAAAACACAATGGGGCATTTCAATGCAGACCCTCTTCATCCAGGAGGGAGCAGAGACCCGGCACGTGCTCCAGCAGCCACCACGCATGGCCAGGGGTCCCCGGGGTACCCTGCATGCTGCATCGGGACCGAGCTGCGGTCCCACAGCTTCTGCCAGCAGCAGGGCCTGCAGAAACACCCGGTGATATCCGCAGCATGCAGCGATGCTCGCAGCCAGCACAGCCCCCTAGTGTCACGGCCGCTGCTCCCGGCACGCTGCGGCACCAACCTGCCGCCTGCCGGGCACCGGCTGCTCCTCGCAGCATCCCCCGGGCACCAGCACCACCAGCACCACGGTCCCAGGGCCAATTGCTGCATGTCCCTGCCATGCTCACCGAGCCACACGTAGCGAGGAGCTCGGCTGCGCTGGGGCACCCCCAGCCCATGGCACAGCCGCGCACGGGGCAGACCCCGACACCGCTATATGGGGACAGCTCTGGTCCCCATACGGAGCGAAGCAGAGGGCCACCTGGGGCTGTTTACCTGTTAAAATGTTCTCGGACATGACGTTGACCTGGACTTCCACCGAGTGCTTGGAGGTGTAGGTGATCTCGGCGCTGACGTTGGCCACCTCGCCGATGCACATGGGGGAGAGGAAGTCCGTCCGCTCCACGCGCGCCAGCGCGGCCACGCAGGGCTCCTGGGGGCACGGAGCAGCGGGGTCAGAGCCCCCGGGGGGGGGAGGAAAATGAGGAAGAGGAGGAGGAGGATGGAGCACACCCTGCTCCATCACAGGACCCCACGGGTGGGGGCTCAGCACCCGCTGCACCCCCCCAAAACGCTTCCCCTTCCGCGATGGCGCGAGCAGCGCGCGCCTTCCTCTGGCTGCACCGCAGCAGGAAAGGGGGCACCCCCCGAGCCTGGGGGTGCAGCCACGGCTTATGGGGGGCACCCAGGCACACCCCGCCGGCACCCCCTGCCCTCCCCATCCCCGCTCACCCCGGTGCCGGAGTTGCAGTGCCGGGTGCTGATGATGGCCCCCGCCTCCTCGATCATCTTCAGCACGGTGCCGCCGTGCACGTTCCCGGCCACGTTGGCGTCGTCGGGACGCATGATCCTGCGGAGGCACCGCTCAGCCGCGGGGGGGTCCGGCCCGACGCCCCCCCCCATGTCCTCCCGGTGCCCCCCACCCGCCATGCCCGGTGCCCCCCGGATGCCCCCGACGGCTGCACGTGGCGCCCGCTTCCTGCCCGTTTCCTTGGAAACCTCCCGGTACCGGCAGCGGGGCGCGGCCTCCGGGGGTGGGGGGGGGCTGTGCTCGGACCGCCCCCCCCCCATCAGCCCCGCCCGGCCCCCCCCAAACCCCGCCCGGCCCCGGTCCTGCCCCTTGCAGCGCCCCGAGGGCGGCCCAAGGGCACCGGCACCGGGCGGGGCGGCGGCACCGGGATAAAAAAAACAAAAAAACGGACGGCACCGGGCGATCCCCGGGATGTGGGGGGGGGGGTCGCGGCCGTTACCTGGAAACCTGGATGGTGGCCGGGCCCGGGCCCGGTGCGCCCCGCTCCGCCATAGCGGCCCCGGTGCCCGCCAGCAACGGCGCTGCAGCGGCGGCGGCGGCGGCGGCGCGGAACGGAACCGGCACCGCCCCGCACAGCACAACCCGCCCCGCCCCGGCCCTGCGCAGGGGGCGGAGACACCGGGGGGGGCGGGGTGGGGACGGCACCGGGATGGCACCGGGATGGCACCGGCACCGGCACCGGGACCCGGCGGCGCCCAGGGCGCAGCCCCCGGTGCCGGCAGCCCCGCCGCCGGTGCGCCCCCCCTGCACGCCTCTCCCAGCACCGGAGGCTCCCGGTGCACCTGCCCCACCCGGTGCTTTACCCGCCGGGGGGAGGCCCCGGGGCACCCCCGAGCCGCTTCCCCGGTGCCCCCGGCCGAGCCGTGCCCGGTTGTGCCCCGAGCATACCCGGGGGGCTCGTTCCCCTCCAAGCCTCCGTTCCCTAAAAGCACCGTTCCTGGTACGGCACCCGGCCCGGAGCTGGGGGAGCCCCGCAGCCAGCACCGGGTGCCCGGCACCCAGGTGGGCTCCGGGACCCCTCTGCCCTGCGGGAGCCACGGGGACACCGCGCCACAGAGGCTGGCAGCGGGCAGAGGCTCCCTGACACCGGCACAGCCGGGACACCGGAGCTGGCTGCGGCCCCACCACGGGCCCGAGCAGTGAGACCCCGGCCACCCAGGAGCTTGGCACCCACACGGCCCCGGCTCCCCCCAGCCGTGCTGTGCACACCCCAGGGCCCACGAGCGAACCGTGGGGTGCCCAGCACCGGACACACACGTGTATGGCTGGGGCACAGCTCCCTGCTGACACCCGCTCCTTTCCCACGCTCGCGTGGAGCTTCCCTGCCAGCCCCGGGGGCCGCGGGCAGCGCCCGGGACCCTGGAAGTGCTGAGCGAAACTGCTTCGTCACCCGGAGCCCCCGTGGGCGGCGGAGCCGCTGCGGCGTGCCCGGGCAGCTGGGCCACGGCTCCACGGTGAGCAGCCGCGGGCAAGCCGCCTGTCCCCACTCCAGGAGCCACCCGGACAAGCCCTGGCTGCAGGCACGGGCGGGATGGTGGCCCCACAGCTCTGCCATGGGGCTGCGCTCTGCCCCGAGGTGCTGCAGCCCCACTGCTGCCTCCCCCTGCTCAGCTGCCCACCCCAGGAGGTTCGGGGAGGTCGCAGCCTCAGGGCCTGTGCAGACACCTGCTGGCACCTGCCCGAGCAGGAGGACACCCCGTTGGGCTGCCCGCAGCCCCATCCCTCTCCTTCCCCATCCCTCGTGGTTCCCAGTGCTCGAGGAAGCCTCGTGCCCAGCTTGCTGGGAACTGCTGGGAGCAACGGGACAGAGCGGCTGGAGAACACACGGGGGGTTAGTGGGGATGTGGCACCTCCTCTGGGGGTTCCCCCAAGACCCCAAGGTGGACGCAGCTTCCCTGGTGTCCAAAATCCGCGGCCAGGAGCTGGCAGGGCCACCGCGTGCCCACGTGCGAGGCTGGGGACAGGCCCAGGCCTGATGCAGGAGCAGGGTGCGAGCGCTGCCAGGCCATTGCGTCAAGGTGCCCGTGCCGCAGCTTGCCCGGGTAATTACCGGGGGGCCGTGGCTGCGGCCGGACCACGCTGGCTGCCGTTTCACCGCTCCCGGGGGGAGGCCTGGGCAGGTGGTGCAGGCAGGAGGGACGTGGACCGAGCCGGGGTACAGCTGGGGGCCAGCCGGGCTCCCCTCGGTGCACCCCGGGCAGCAGAGCGCAGCTTTGGCAAAAGGTTTATTTGTACAAAGGGGGTCCCTGGGGTCTGTACAAATAAATAGGGCTATGTACAGCGATGCACGGGGGGGGGGCTACCAGGGCCGCCAGAGCGGGGTGGTGGGCGGCGGCGGGGTGGCCTTGGGGCAGGTGGCAGGCGGCAGCTCCGGGAGGTGGCGGCGGGTGGCGGGTGGCGGCAGGGGGGGCAGCAGGGTGCCCAGGCGGGCCAGGCAGGCGCGGTACCCGGCACGGAAACTCTCGGAGGGCTCTGTGGAGAGGTGGCCGTCAGTGGGAGGCCGGGTGAGTGGGGGGCCAGGGGGTGGGTGAAGGGTTAGGGGGGGCTCACCTGGTGCCGAGGGCGCAGCCGGCACCTCCTTGAGGAACTGCACGGTCATCTCCAGGATGTCTGCCTTCTCCAGCTTGGAGCAGCGGGAGCTCTGTGGGGCCGGTGGGTCAGCGGTGGGCACCGGCACCGGGCACCGGAGGGAAGGGGGGGGCCGGGCACGGGACACGAGCTGGGGGGGGGCAGGGTTGGGGCGAGAAGAAGCAGGAGGGGTGGAGAGGGAGGGCAGGGCCGGGGGCTGCGGGCAGGGGTCGGGGCTGCGCCGAGGGGGCGGGCGGGCAGGGAAGGGGGGAGCGGGCAGCGCCGGGGACCGGGAAGGGGCTCGACGGGACGGGGCGGCGGGGCGGCTCGGGGAGGGCCGGGAGGGGGGGGGGGGCCGGGGCCGGGGCACTCACGTCCTTGCCGACGAGCGGCAGGATGAGCGCCTTGAGCTGGTTGAGGCTCTCGTTGATGCGGGCGCGGCGCCGCTTCTCCAGCAGGGGCTTGAGGGTCTGCGGGGAGAAGGGGGCGGTGAGGGCGGCCCGGCCTCCGCGGGACCCCCCGGGGGGGGGCGGCCGCTCACCTTGCGCATCTCGGCGGCGGGGCGGCGCGGGGGCCTCGGTGGAGGGGAGCCCGTCGGGGACATCGCGCTCCGGAGCTCCGCCGCCGCCAACGCCGCCTTTATGGGGCCGTCGGGCCGCCCCGCCTCCCTCCCCGGCACTGCGCCGTCGGGGCAGGGCGGGCGGGCACGGAGAGGCTGGAAGGGAGGGCAGGGAGGGGAGGGGAGGGCAGGGCAGGACGGAGGCAGGGGGGGAGGCCGGGAGGCAGGGGGGAGGCCGGGAGGCAGGGGGGAGGCCCGGCCTCGCCGCTGTCCGCGGTGCTGGAGGCGCCCCCGCCGCTGTTCGCGGTGCTGAAGGAGCGGGGGGGGCGTCAGAGCCTGCCCCCGGTACCGGTCCGTCGGTGCCCGAAGGCGCAGCCACGCGGTGCCGGTGCCGCCAGGGCTGCGGGCGGCGGGGGGGCGGCGGAGGCACAGGCGGGACCCTCACCTGCGGCTGCCGCAGGACCGGGGGCGCAGAAGGGGTGGGGGGCACCCTGCCGGCACCCCGCGCCCCTCGCCGCCTCCTTTCTGCAGCGGCTCCCGGCGCAGCCCCGGATCTTATCTGAAAGTGAATTTCTCGTCCCGAGGGCTCGAAAACGGGGGGCCGAAACGCGGCTCCCAAAGCTGCCGAGAGACACAGCGGCTGCCCACGCCCGCGGCACCCCCTGCGCGGGGGGGGCACAGCCCCGGCACCGCTCGCCCCCGGCACCGTGCCCCCCTACGACCACCCCGGCCCCGCTCCCCGCCGCCACCGACGTGTCCGGGGACTCGTCACCACCGGGGGCTGCGCGGTCCCGGGGCCACCGGCGGCCCCCGCCGCGCCCGGGGTAGGTGGCGCCGCGCCCCCGGGTCCTGCGCCCCCGGGGCAGGGTCCGCCGGGCGGCGGGGCGGCCGCCGTGCCCCGACGGCGGGGCTGCCGGCGGGGCGGGCGGAGGGGCCGGGGCCCGGGGGAGGGGGGGGCGGCGGGGCGGGCCGGCCCCGGGGGAGGAGGAGGAGGAGCCGGCGGGGCCGGGCCGCCGCGCCGCGGGGGCGCCGCGCAGTGCCAAGCGGCGGCCGGACGGCCCCGCGCGGCCGGTGCGGGGCCGGGGCCATGGCGCTGGAGCGGGCGCTGCTGGCGGCTCGGCAGGGGGACGTGGAGGCGCTGCGGGGGCTGCGGGCGGCCGGGCTGCTGCGGCCGGGGCTGCGGGACGCGCTCGGAGCCTCCCCCGCGCACCACGCCGCCCGTGCCGGCCGCCTCGCCTGCCTCCGGTACCTGGCGGCCGAGGCCGCGCTGCGCGGAGACTCGAGGGCGCGCAACGGGGCCACGCCGGCCCACGACGCCGCCGCCACCGGCAACCTCGCCTGTCTGCAGTGGCTGCTCACGCAGGGGGGCTGCGGCGTGCAGGTGCGAGAGGAGCGCGGGGCCGGGGAGGGGGCGCGGGGCTCGACGGAGCGGGCGCGGAGGGGTGCCGGGATGGGAGCGCGGCACCGGGGGGGCGGCCCGGCCGCTGCCTCCTTCTCCTCCTCTTCCTCCTCCTCTTCGGCACCTCCAGCCGTGGAGAGGTTTGGAGAGGTTCCCGGCGGGGTCTCGGGCAGCCTGGAAGTGCCCAGGGGCGTTTTGGCACACCCCAGGGACCACCACGGTGCCCCGCTCGGCTGAGGCACCCCACACCCCACGCCTCCACCGCGGCTCCCAGGGCTACAGATCCTGCACCAAGGGGCAGCGAGGTCCCCAGAGCATCTGCGCTGTGCCCCGTGGAGGAGGGGGGGTCATAGCCAGGGCCCGGCTGGGGTGAGGAGCACTGGGATTGTTTCCGGCTGCGTAGGTCTGGAGAGGTGGTGGCCGTGGGGAGAAGGTCACAGACAGGCTCTGCTCTGGGTCTGTGGCCACCCACAGCAGCGCTGGAGCCTCGCGTGGGCTCTGCCTTGGCCAAACTGCCTGGTGGTGGGGGGCTCAGGAGGGGGCAGGCACCCAGCAGCACCTTGTGCCAAGCCCTGACCCTGTGCTGGGTGTGAGCCGCTGGCACAGCCACCCCCCAGGGCAGCCACCCAGCTGGGACGGGAGGGCTGGCACGCTCCGGACAAAGCCCACGCAGACCCGAGGAGGGCACGGAGGTTCAGGTGGAAGCTGCGCCCCAGGGTGCCAGCCCCTTCCCAGGGTTACACAACCAGAGCAAGCCCCGGGGCAGATAAGCAGCTTGCCGGGGGCTGGCAGAGAGGTACCAGCATGTGACGTGGAGGAGGAGGAGGGGTGGGAGAGGCGATTAAGCAGGAAGGACGGGTTCAGCACGGTTCGGTGCCGTCCTGGCCCAGGGCCAGCTCTGCTCTGCATCCCGTGGAGCCAGGAGGGGAGCCGGGTGGCCGGCAGCGCAGCGAGCCCCCGCGGCAGGGAGAACAATCCGGGCTTTGTGCACCACCGGCAGCCAACGAGGCCCCGCAGCCGGGCTGGTGCGCTGCTGCTGGGGCCCATGGGGACCTGGCATGGACACGGCACGCTTACGGCCCCCATCGCCTCTCCCCTGTTGCCCAGGACCATCCCCTCCTGCCCTGAGCCCTGCGGGGCTGCCCATGCTCGGTATCGATGGAGCTTCCCCAGCCCCACGCTCAAACCCTTGCTGCAGGCTCTGGGCAGCCTGTGCTGCCGGGTGCCAAGGCCTCTCCGTTCCTCCCGCAGGACACAGACAACTCCGGTGCCACTATCCTACATCTCGCAGCCCGATTCGGTCACCACGAGGTGATCGACTGGCTCCTCCGCTTCGGAGGCAGCGACCCCACGGCAGCCACGGACACGGGAGCGCTGCCGGTCCACTACGCTGCGGCCAAAGGGGATTTCCCCTCCCTGCGACTTCTCCTAGGACACTGCCCAAGGTAACAGCCCCCTGCTGCTAGGGGGCACAGGGGCCGAGCTGATGGCACGCTGACCGGCAGCCCTTTGAGTTTCTGTGCGAGGTGCCAGCACTGGGCACCAGCCACTTGGCGATGCGGCCATCTCCATCCCCCTTGCATCACAGCTCCAAGGGCAACACGGCCGCGTTATCACCTCGGGAAGGCAGCTGTGCCTTCTTTATCACCCGGAGAGAAAGGGCGAGGAGGAGCGCAGCGAGCACTGACAGAAATATAGCTGCCCACCAGGAGCAGCACGCAGCGGGGTTTGTTCGCCGCGCTCTTGGCGCGGGGCGATAACACAGCCGCCTTTGTCTGCCCGCCGTTATGTAAATGGATTAGGCTGCCGGCGGAGCAGAGGCTGCTCCCTGCACCAGAGCCGACCTTCCCCGCTGCCCCCAGGAGCTCAGGGCCACGGCACCACCGGGCGCTGCCGCACTGCTCGGCCGGCACCGCCACCCCTGGGGTCAGCCCCCCGTGCGGCCGCCCCCCGACGTGCCCTGGGGACACGGCACAGCTGCCACGGGGCACAGAGTGCCGAGCCACCCCGGGCCTCACCGTGTGATTATGTGGCCCCTAATCTCATTTCCCACGGTGGGCAGAGGCTGCTATAAATAACCAGGGCCCTGGCCAAGGGGGAGGCCGTGGGGACACTGCCCCCACCACGCCGTGCCCAGGAGGTGCAGGGACTGCGGGTATCAGGGGTGCAGAGGGGTGGTGGGACCCCCTCAGGCTGCCTCCGGCCCCATTCTCGCCCCCTTCCCCAGGTGCCACATGGTCCTGCACCAGCTCCCAGACCCACACAGCCATCCCACCAGCAGAACCCATTGCAGCAGCCAGCCCCCCACCCACCTACCCCACTGCAAGCAGCCTCCCCAGCCTGGCCACCCCGGCTCTTTATCTCCTTGCCCCAGGTGTGCTGGCTCAGGGGGGCACCTGTGCTGCCCCCACACCCAGATGGATTCACCCTCCCCATCCCAGGGCCCAGCTCCCTCACAGCCTTGGTTCCTGCTCAGTCCCTGCATCGTCGCCCCCGCAGCACACGTGGCGGCAGCGCTTTCACATTGAATTTCATGTTCCTGCTGGGGTTACTCCGCTGCCATCGCCCGCCTTCCACCGCCAAGGTGGCCCCTGAATTATTTACTGCTCGCCCTGCGCTCGGGCCCTGCGGCTTGCAGGAGGCTCTGTTACAGCTGTGAAACCCAATCCTGGGGCGCTGCGGGACGTGGCCGCAGCTCGGGCGGGAGGGCGCGTGCCAGGCTGGGCAGCCAGCACCAGCAGCGAGGCCACAGAGTCCCCGGCACCTCCACTGCTGGCTCGGCTGTGCCGTGGTGTCCGCAGCAGCTGGTGGCGAGGTGGGCGGCCAGCGCGGGGTCATGGCCATCTGGCAAAGCATTCACCCACTGCGCCGAGCGCCTGGCTCCCAGCCAGTGCTCACCCAAGTGGATTAACCCCTCCCCATAACTGGGAAACGGCAATTACGGATTGAAAATGCACCCACTGCACCCACACCACCACCGTGCGTGGCTCTGCTGTGCCCCAGCCAGCCCCCAGCCCTGTCCCTGGTCCCCGTCTCCAGTGCAGTGCACGGAAAGCTGGCGTCCTGCAGCACGGCACAGCGCAGAGCCAGCGCTGGCCGCCACCCGTCTCACGGTTACAGGGATCAATTATTAAGGGCCCACGATCGCTGCGATAACAGAGCGGAGTATTTATTGCACTTCCTTTTTTAAATATTCAACAGGTTTTTATGGCGCACTTAAAAACCAGCTTCCTGCATGGCGAAGGGCGTGCAGTGTGGGATGCAGGATTTAGGGAGCGGGATTTGGGATATATGGGACGCAGGGTGCAGGATGTGGGATGTGGGATGCATGGCTCAGGATGTGGCCACGGGGGTGCCAAGGCCTGGGGGACCGCGGTGCCCGGCAGTGGTGCTCCTGGGCAGTGCCAACGCGCAGTTCCACCCTTCCCCACCGGCTGCTGGTGCCTAAGCTGCTTACTTAAAAATACTGCTAGATTGCAGTGTCCAAAAACAGCCGGAGGAATGCGATTAGCCCGAGCTTATTGACTTAATGACCTCCCGCGGCAGCCACTGTGTCTGTGCGGGGACTGAGCAGGGCCGTGGCGTGGACGTCCCCAGCCCATATTGCCTGGTGCTGCCTGCCCCGTGCCCTGCGTGCCCCCCAGGCCCTGTGACACACGTGGTCCTGGTGTCCCTGCACCCACACGGTCCCCGTGTCCCACACATCCCC